TATTACAAAAATACACATAAAGCAATACGCCATGCAGTGGACACTGGTATTCCGAGGTGCAGACAAAAAACAATAACATTATTATGTCACAACCATTAATCATTCTGACAGCCGGTCAGTCGCAGACAGGGTTTCTATGTCAGCTCTCAGAGAAGAAAAACAGCCGTCAGCAGTCTACGTGCTAATACAGTGTAGCCTACATACATAATATATTCTATATTTCATTTTATAGAAGGCACAATACGCAAAACAAGAGCTGTTGTCATCTTAAGTACGTCCAACTGCATTAAAAGATAAGTGACCTAATTGGTGTGCCTCTCACTCTGAGTCCAAAATTAAGAAGAGCTGACATTTCACTGGGCAACACAGGCCAAGACCAAGCTGTTGGTCAGGTAACGTCATTGTTGTTACCTACATTTGTTCTGAGAAAAAACAAAGAAGCCCTGAGCCTGTAATCAATAAAACAATGGTGTGTATGCAAACGCTCTCTCTCTCTCTCTGAGACTCGAACAGTAAAAAAATGTCGTAGTTACAATTGTTCTGATAGGCATGCGGTCCAACAATGACCGAGTTGTTATAGTTTAGACCCGAACAATTCAGCAATGACGTGGTTTCTATTGCTCGGAGACCTTTATAGTCTAAAAATGACCTAGTTGCAGTCGTTAAGACCTACACATTTTTAGCAATGATATAGTTCTTTTATAATTGTTCGGAGACCTTTAAAGTCTAACAATGACGCGGTCTCTATCACATAAACCCTGTCATCCTTATTAAAGTGAAACACAGTTTTTGAGATCATTGCGTCGATTTTCTACATCTGTCAGCCTGGATGCCGTATCCTTCTCTGCTCTGACAAGCGCTGTCGATACAAACTTCGTCCTTAACGATTTTATGCCAGTCTACTAGACAGTCCAACATGAAACACTATCCTAATCCTAACTTCAACCTCAACCAGTCATCGGGATAAGATTAGGGTTAGGTAATAGACATATAGACTGTGGTAGATCGTCAAGTAGAACAGAAACATCGTGGAAGGCTGTCAAATGGACTGGCACCGGCAATTCAACTTACATCGATGAAGATGTTAAGGGTTATAACCGACACTTATTTACAATACAGCATCACAATCAATCATCCGTACCTGAGGCCCTCTCACTACGCCAAACGTCTTGGCTTCCAGATCCCCAAACTTTGGCGCGTGCACGCCGAAGCTGATGAAGGTGAGCAGTTGTTGGAAGATGTCGGGGAAAGTTGCCTGCATGTTGTCGGGGCCGCTCTGTACGGCCTGCAGGCGACGGGGAGAGAGAGCGAGGGGGG